TCATAATATTATGACTTTATTCCTGTAACTTGTTAAATTTTCTTTTATTTAACATCTTATTGCAGCATAAATTTCATCAGCTAAGTTGTTAAACTTACTTTAAAAAACAAATCCTTCGGTCCGTGGTGAATTTTCAAACTACGTCGACTTGTTAAAAAAAATAAAAACTCCACCGTCTTCATTTCTCTGTTTATTTTGCTGCCAGCACATTGAATCCTGGGATATCCTCGGCCAGTGAGGATACACAGATGCATCCTCAGATATCAGGAATTTGTCGGCCACATGATGAGGAGCCTTTGAAATGGGACAGTCCTCCATGCGGGGCAGTGATGTATGTGACCGACACATGCGCACTCATGAGGACCCAGACCCTGAATTGACACACAGCCAATGTTATCTGAACAGAACTGAAGCTAATAATATAACAGTTTAAAATTAAAATAATCTTATAAAGTCGATGTAATCACTGGTATTTATTGAACTGGTTAGCAGATGTTAGCTTGTGGAGCAGGTATAAAGAGTGTAGCTCTTCTGAATCATGCAACAATTTAACACAAACTATTAAATATTACAGCTGATTTGTCTCTGATTATTATTTAGACCTACAGAGTGTAAAATAATAAAATATACTCCTGGTGCAATGACTCCCACTCCCATTCAAAATTACTCTGGCTCCTGTACCGCTCCCATCTTTTCTTCCTAATTTACCCTTAGGCAACACAATTAATTTGATTTAATCTTCACCACAATGTTTTTAAGATTACTTTGTGTTTTTCAGTTTGATTTAAAACGATATAGCAACAGTTCATCTGTGGAAATATAGGAGGCATTTTTTGTCTTAATGTAAACAAAAAACATCACTAAAGAGCACAAAACAAATACATGGCATGTGTTCTCTATAGATTTTCCTACAGACGACCAGCTAAATCTCTRTTTTTAGCTCATTTGGAGGTCAGTTAGTTGAATAAATCCCAACATAGAAAGTTACATTTTACTCATTAATTGAGCAGTTATTTCCTTAAAACAGTGACATCACTTTTATGTTTTCATTTCCTCAATGAACATACAGCACAAAACTTAACAAAAGTCCATAAAGGCATTACCTTCACAATTCAGATACTGGCTGTGCATTTTAGAAAAAGAAAAAAAAAGTTCATTTGTGCCATACAAGTATCCTTTTCCTGTTTTGAACACATTTGAACATTTGTAAGAAAACACTAAGTCTAACTACCAGAATCATGTCCATCAAACATGTTCCTGCATAACGATGAGTACAGGAACTTTATATGTTGCTATGTAGGAACAAGTGTGTGTCTACTAGTTATTGATTAATGGATTAATCTAAAGTTGATTGATCTTATHGATCGACTAACGACTAATTGATAAGCGGCCATTTTCCTAAAAACCTGACATTTCTCTTTCTATAACATGAAGGACTAATTTTTTTACACACTAAATAAAAAAGTAAAGAGTATTATTTCAACAATTCATTGTGTCAGCTGTGTGAGTAAACACTGACTGAAAGAACAGAGA